AAGGCTGCTTTCAAGTTACAACTAACTTCAAAATTATGAGATAGCAGAAGTTACAACTAATTCTGCTACGAGATAGCAGAATGGGAAGGTACAAGAACATGCCCCCTGTTGACAGAGTGACAAAACTATCCTTTGTCCCCTCAAAAAGGAAAGAAGCCCAGAAGTTTCTCTGGTCCATTAGGTGAAAAAGGCACCTCATAGGCCTGAAGAATTTCACTTCAAACTTAAGGATAGCCAATGGGGCAGAAGCCAAAAAGTCTCACCTGGGCAATTTACTAGAAAAAGAAGAGAACAAGGAAACTAATCGCTTTTGTGAGGTGTTTTACCAGGAGCAAGAACCTCTTGCACCTGGATCAGTTTTCCTCTGTTTGTTATTTTGCCTTTGATTAAACCTTTTTGTTCCAAACACTGCAACAGAAGCTATCCTGCTGATTTTATGCCTCCAAAGGAAGCTGAGCTATCTTGGGTGAGTAACAGACCTCCAAGAGCTTATGAGACCTGTTTTGAGGAGGCTACTATTACTGGAAGGTGTAAATATTTCAGTGTGTGTGTGAGTCAAAATGCCAAGCACAGAGGCTGTGTCCAGGGAGAGCTGAAGCACGTGTGGTCCCTGGTGCAGGGTTTGTTTATCGGAGCACTGAGCCAGCAGCCACTGAACAGTGACACTGTGTCACTCAGAGGCCTCCAACAGGAGCTCTATGAGCTCTCCTGCATGCATTTGATCAGAACTTGAAGAAAAAAGGAGAAGCAGCACTCAGGATTCACATGTCTGCAGGATTTCTGTCAGTGTTTAAGACACCGTGGCCTTTTCAACTGGCTCCTTGGCACTGATGTGACAATGAAAGCCCACGAAAAAGGGAATCAGAGGAGCTTTATTCCCTGTTCACTAGCCTTATTCCCTTCTCTCTGGCACTGATGTGAATGAAGGAGAGTGCCAGTGTGATAGATGAGTAATGCAATGATTGACTCTCACAATTAATGGACAAATATCAAGTATATAGGTTAAGAAAAGTTTTATAGATTTATAGTTATGTTGTACCCCCTCATGTGGTTATCAAGGGACAGCTGGGGTTGGGACATCTGGGAGGGCTGGCTTGTCACTATGGCAACACCTGACCTCTAATCAGGATTTGAGGAAGAAATCTCCACCACTGGAGAGCAAAGAAGGGGTTGATGGACAGAACTTTGGGAAGGGTTAAAGGGTTAAAAAGGGAAAACCTCCATTGTGAGGGGCTGAGCACATGGCGGGGAAAATCTTTCGCTCCCACGACCATAACATTTTTTCTTTATTCAATCTTCTGTTGTATTTTTGATAAGGTTTAATAAACCTTCCTAAACTAGGAAAAGTGAGTAGCTATTTCTCACCAGAACTGGCAGATCCAAGGTATGAAACAGCCACAGAGGCAGGGGACTGATTTTACTTCAGAGCCTCTCTATTTCACTCCACCCTTTTGCCTTCCTCTGCTGATTGCGCTGGAGCAGCAAGAGAGGGTTCAAGTGAAATTATCCCTGAAATCAGAGCATTATCAGCTTTCCCAGCTGGCTGGGTAAGGGAACAGCGGGGGCACCTGCAGTGGCAGCTCCCTGCAGGGCTGTGCCTGAGCTCACACACACACAGCTGTTCTCGGTGTGACACTGCATTCACATCAGCCTGCTGCAGGCACTCTGGCCATGGGGGTCAAGCATGGGGGTCTTCTCTGGACTGGGCACTGCTCTTTTGGAAAAATAGGCACCTCTGGGAAGGTTTTATGTCATTTACTGGTGGTTGGAAACAACACCAGTGACGCCAGAGTGCCAAACTCTGTTTGGATGAGGTACCAGATTCTGACACCCATGGTGGGTCACAGCCTCTGTCCCTGCATGTATTCTCTGCCAGGTGTGGGAGAGGTTTTACAGCAACTTCTGTGAGCCAGGGAGAAGTCTGATAACAGGATCCATGTTTACCCCTGAAAGAATTTTCTACCAAAGTTGTTGACATAGAAACCAAGAGTGAAAAAAGGATAAATAAGAGAAACCTGCAAGTGCCTATTCCAATGAGCACTTTGTTTGTCTCTGGTGACCAATGAGCAAAGTGTAAACTTAGGAGTTTTGTAAGAATGTACAAAAAGCATGCATGCTATAAAAAAAACCAGGTTTGAAACCTTCTGAAAATGGAGTGTGTTGCTTTGTATTGTCTCTGTCTCAACTATGACAGCCAGGGACCACTGCCCTCACAATTCCTGGGGCAAAAGGTGCCCTCCAGTCCTGCCAGTCATGGCTAAATGTGGTACATGATGCTGCTAGCCAGGTCTTATAGGATCTCACAGATTTCCCTAAATTACTGCTAGGATGGACTTTGCTGAGCTTCACACAGCAGGTTTGGTTGGTTCACATTCCCTCTGACAAAGGTTTGTAGACAAACAGTAAAACCCAGTAGATCTTTCCAAAATATTTTGACATTGGGATATGCTCAGTAATGCCAAACCACATATACTTCGGTATTCCAGTGGATTTAGCCAAGATTTCCATTGGAAATTAGGAGACACCTGAGACTTAAACAGTAAATACATACACATGCTGGATCCAGAAAAGCCTGAGTCACAGTCTGTGCAGAAAAGAACTTTGTAATGCACTAAGCATCATCTGCAGCAGTGGAGAAAAGCAAGGCTGGGCACAGCAAGCACTCACACTCCCTAGCAGGTAGTGAAAAGTGACATGTGAGCCAAAATTGAGAAGCATATACCTTATTTAATGACATTCTACACCAATTTCCAGGGTTAAAATTTGAGGTTTGTTTCTCCAAGTCCTGTGTGTGTGTGCACAGTACATGCATGCACCCACAACAGACAGGCATTTAATTACAGGCAATTTTAAATGGTGATTTCTGTATCTGAGTTCCTTGCTACGCAAAGCCTTAGGATCTTTTTAAGCATTTGCTGACTTTTTGTATAATGGGGTTTATATTTTCACCTGTGTAAGCTGTGGAGACAAATGGTTTGGATTAGCTAATTTAATCAAATTTCACAGGACTCATGAATTGTATTGAGATGGGATTGAGTTTCTCAGAAGATACTCATGTTCATTAAATTAAATACAGTCCAGTTCTACACTGCTTCATCCCAAATAAGGAAAAATAGAGTAATATTTGGGTGGCTATCTTAATGAAGCTGACTTTGTACATAGCTCTCAATCATCATTGAAATAATGCTGTTTATCTTATTTATCAAGTACAAACAGCAAAGCACAAACAGCAAATCGTTGCTTCTGTATATTTGAAAACAACTCAAAAGGAATAAAAAAAAATTTGAAGAAAACTGGACTTTCCTACACACACACATTCATCTAGCTGTGTGTGGGCACTAATATCTGCCTTCTTTGCTTTCAGAGTGTGTTTCTAAAAGTACTCAGAATGGATCTTGTTCCAGTTTTTCTGGAGTCACCTGTAAAACTCCTGTTACCTCAAAAAGATAGTATTGATGTTGGTTGCACTTTTAAAAGAGCAGAAGCATTTGTCTTGAAGAACTGGGAAAGGTTAAAAGAAAACCCAATGAGAGAACAAAACAGAGTAAGAACCAAGGCTTTTTCTTGAAGCAATGACTCATAAAAGGGTACAGGCATTCCCTCACCTTCAAAGGTTTCATCAGCTCTGCCTAGAACTGATCAGCAGCAGTGATGAGGGTTTTTAAGATGCAAATAAGAGAGCTGGCTGCATTACAACTATGTCAGGTTTCCAGCCAGAAGGCAGGAGGGATGAGGCTCAGCCCTGGAGCTGGGATGGGGAGGAGCAGTGCAGCTTGGCAGGCTCCTGGAGAAAGCTTTATCACAAGTACCTGTGCTCTGGTATTAAGGGGAGCACATGAGATATACAAAAGTAAGGCAGCCTTCTATAAAATCTATTACACCACAAAGCACCTGGTTAAAAACAAGTTGCTGCTTAGAAATTATGAGGACTCATCAAATTGTCCCTATCCAGAATCTCAACATTTTATTTTTTTTTTGAGTTGTCACCATACAACAGAAGAAATGAAATGTTTCATGGCTGTAGTGAAATTGAAATTTAGAGAGACAATGTGTCATTTATACACCCTCAAGGGACACCTTCAGATATGGAAAGCAATCCAAAGTGTCCCCAAATCCAGAATGCTCAGAACAATATATCTGCTGTGGTGCCACCTTTGACATGTGATATAAACTTTTTCCCAGCCTGTCTCTGAATTTCAGTGTTGTACCCTCATCCTGAGGGTACTGTTTAACAGCACAGCATTCATTCTGAATGCACTTTACTCCATTATGGAATATTTTGCTTAAACACTCTGTATCCCTGTCACCACCATTCACTACAATCCATTATTGCTGCAGGAATCATAAGAATGATTCACTGAAGGCAAATAATTCTTGGGAAGGGAAATAGAAAAACTCTAAGAACACAGATATTTCAAGTTTGCAATGGAAAGCATTAAATAAAGAAAATGTAGTAAAAAGCAGAGAATGATTTATTATGTTGTGAAGAACACTCCTCTCTCTCTTCAGCAACATACACACAAGAAAACAGAATAACTATTTCTTGGAGGTTCACTTCTCATCTAAAGTCAGAATATACATGAGCTTTTACCATAATTATTCCAGCAGCTAATTATGATGCCACAGACAGACCATTGTGGCTCAAGGACCAGCCTGAGCAGCAGGAACAAATGCAAAGCAAACAAGAATCTCTGTGCTTCCACAGCATCACAGTGGCTTTAGCAATAAAGAAGAAAAAGAAAATGCAGGAGAGAGCAAGCAGATGAGAGAAAATTTATAAAATCTATGATGTTGAAAAATACCCTCTATGGACACTGTTTTTGAGAACAGACTAAGTGGCCCTCCAAGCAATAAACAAACTTAGAAAAATGCAGGGAGCAATGAAAGGAAAATTTACCAACATAATTCTCCATAACAGAGGATCAGGGAAAACTTGTGGCCATATATATCCAGTTTGATGCTGAGGGGATGACAAGGCTGAGAATAAAAGCAGTACTTACATCCTGAGCTGCCGTTGGTTGGAACCAGAGTGAAGTTGGAGGCCCAGGGGTTCCTCACGATGTCTTGCCAATGAATGGTGTCTGCAAAGCAGAGGAATTTGTTCTGGCCAACATACACCCCTCCATTCAGTATCTCTGTGCAGAAGAACAAGAGAACAACATAGTGGTAAGACTTCAGACAGCTGATATAGCTGATTCAATCTATTGCAAAATGTGTGTTGGAGAGAGGGCATGAAATTTAAATGAAAAAAAAATTCTGACTGTAATCTCATTTAATAATCTGAAAACTGGAGGACAAGCAGCTCACAGTATTTGTAAACAGGAACCCTTTATTCACATGCAGAAGAAACCTGATGAAGACTGACACACAGTTGTTTACTTTTTGTTCCAGTGTGATCATGTATGGAACAGTTTTGTATTTTGTAGGTAAAATAACCTTCAGCACTTAAATGACTTGAAAACACAAGCAATCAATCACACTGTACTGCATTTCATTAATTTGCAGAAAGTTTAAAACTTACAATAAAGAACCATGCTGTGATGAGCCCACAGGACATAAGAAGGGGCCAGGCAGCACAAGGTCTGGAGAAAATGTTATATTAGAGCCTGGGCTGCTGTAATACCATCGTCCAAAACACCCAAATACTCCAAGCAACAATCCAAATCTCACACACTATGGTCCAAAACTCCTATGGACATGCCTTGCTGGAAGCTTTGTGTTAGAGATGGTTTTTAAACAGGTAAAAGTTTTGGGGTTCTTCTTAGAACTTTTTGGGACTTTTGTGTGTTTTGTTGGGGTTTCTGAGTTTTCTTTTTATTTTCATATTGATAGCAGTTTGCTTAGAAACCTGCTCTGTTGCCCTGTCTCTGAAGACTTGATCCATCAAATATCAACATGAAAATGATCTTACAGTTGTTGGCTATAGCACCAGGCTTTCCTCTGGATCAAAAACTTTTTTTTTTTACCCCCTAAACCCTTGTTCAAATTCACAATTCCTCCACTTAACCTGTCTCTTTTATTTCCAAAGCGGGAGACAATGCCTGTGACTTTGATGAAAGTTAACAGGAAATGTGAGTCAGTGTCAGAGCTTCCAGCCTCAGCAGAGAAATGCTGAAGGTTAGTAACTAATGACACCCTGGAATGACATGAAGTGGTGCTGCAGGGCCAGGAGTGCCACACACAGACATGAAGGATAATTCCTGACTTTGGTAGTTGCAATTAAGGTAGTCTGAGAATCCTCATCCACCAGGAAAACCTTTAAAAACTGGAGTGGGAATGCAAACCTTTACACACACCACTGTATTTTATTTATTTTTTAAATTTCATGGTTTACAGGTCACACAGCATGTAAATGAAGCAGCCCCCAATCAAGGAATGTATTAAATAAAGGATCATCTGTAAATACATCTTCCCACCATATTAATCAGTATTACTATTTCTTAGAAACCTCTGGTTTAAAAGCTTAGCTTTTCGTTGAAAAGGGGCTTATAAATGAGAACAATTATAATAATCTGCTCCAGAAAAACAGTCCAGATTAGAGATATAGCAATGATCTGTCTGTATAATATTCTTATGATCACAGGAAAAACCCATACAGCATCTGTTAACAATTTTGCTCTGGGGAGAAAGAGAGGCTTAGAAGAACACCTGAAATCATGATTAGTGATGATTTCTCTGTGTTGCTCCAGCTACACTGGATTACCTAATCCATTATGGCCCAGATTTTGATTAAAAATAACTGAAAAACAATGAAAAACTGTAAAATCTGCATTCATAGCTTCTTAAACACACACATAATATCTGGACTAAGCTTTTTTTTTTTTTTTTACTTCAAGAGTAAGGGTAACTGAGAGGTGTTTCAAAAACTTTTATTCTATTTTCAGTCTCATGAGAATGGTGAGACAATACAGATGTTATAATTCATGCTATCACAATCAGAAGCCAACTATTTTCTAATTACATTATATTAGAAGCTTTGAAAATTCTCTGCAAGTCCATTTCCCCACACACAATTCTACACAGCTCCTCTGTCAGCTGGCACACTGAACTGGCCCAATTTCTGGGTTTCAGAGCATCCCCTCATGACAATGCCTATCCAAGTTGCTTTCCTGCTAGGAACTTTGACGTATTCTTGTATAACAGGATCTTAATCTAAAAGTAATTCTAATAGTTTTAATTTTTGGAGAAAAAAAATTTTTCAGCACAAAGGTAACCAGGAAGTGTATCATATGCTGTATTTCAGGGAAGGCAACATCCTCCACTGCGATACACTAAAAGTCACCACAAAAATGCTCTGACTTGCCTCATCACTGAATAGCAAGTGCTATTTCTGCTGCTCTTTCCCAAAAATGGGACACAGTACCTCCAATTTCCCTGCACTGCACCATTTTTCAGCAGTGACAGAATTAAAGTTTCCAGGTTATTGATGCGCTGAGGTGCAAACACACCTGAGTAATATCGAAGGTGTGTTCTTGTGGATATGAAGTGACACTGAGTTCAAAGTTCAGCACAACCTTTAGAGCACTTGTGTTTGACTCTTCCTGCTCTCTGGGCTCCAGATTCATTTCCACTCCACCTTCCCAATCCAACCCGCTACCCTCCTTTTCTTTACACCGAGTGCTCGGTGTGTGTAAATCAGCACAGGTGCATTGGCTTCACTGACTTCAACTCAAAATGCATTTTGCACTTCTTTGCCCTCTCTTAGCAAGAACAATGCCTGGGAAGAGCTAATAAACTCTGTTACATGTTAAGCAAATGAAGCACAACTGTAATCAATATACAATAGAGCTGCTGTATAATGAACTCATCATCATAAAGTCATCATCTCATTTTAATTTACAGCCCTGAAAGTGAGAGATAAAGTTAAACAACAAACAGCAGGAGAAAGGCCGGGTCTCTGCCTGTGCAGGCAGCAATGGAAGCCAGGCAAAAAGAGGATTCTTCTCCATGTGTGCAACACCTGAGGTGTCTCTGTGCTCAGCTCTTTCCAAGGCTGGAGCAGAAGAGAAAATGCCAAGTCCCTGAGTGAATTTTGTGCACAAAGAAGCCAGTTCCTGCCAAAGAAACCCCAAACCAGACTGCTCAGAGTGAAGCATTTTAAATACCATTTAGGGGAGAGTATTTTTGTCTTCTAAAACAATTGTTTGTGACACTGGAAAACTGTTAGTGCAAGTATGACCCTGCCAGCAGCAAGTGCTACTCTTGGGCTTCCACCCTGCTCAGGGACACCAAGGTACAAAAGGGGATTTCTAAGCACAAGACCCAGCAGCTTTCACTGGGAAAAGAATTCCTAGAGGTGCCTGAAAACTTTGGACATCTTTCTGGAAGGTGTGACACCAGGTGTGAAACCAAAATCTCCTGGTTTGGCACCAGGGCTGCAACCCTGTGCCCTGAGCAATGCAGTAGCACCAAGGGCCACTTGATTCTGAAGTGAAGGGCAAATCTTATCTTCCATATTAGAACTACTCTACTGGCCTAAAAGCAATATAATTCTGCAGCCAAAGTTACACAAATATAAATCAGCATGTGTCCTTGCCACTGAAATCTGTCATTATTTTGCTTATTACTCTCAAATGATTGTGGGGAACTTATATCAGCATATTATTAAAATTCTCTTAAATGGTTATTTACTCAGGAAGATAAATCAGAAATGTATTATCTGCTGCTATAACTGCTGTTTTCTTGCTTTCATTAGCCTAGTAAAACATTCCCACAGACTTTGGTAACCTACCCTACAATGCTAACAGGAGAGATGGAGATGCACAGGTCCCTGGCAACCAAGAAACACAACACCTCACACTAAAGTGGCCAGGAACACAGACAGGTACACCACACATAGCTCATACTTAGTCTGCCAAGCTCAAAAATGGACTCAGAGCTTGACTGAAATCACTAAAAGCACATTATCAGCCACCAGAAGCATGCAATCACTGCAAAGGGACACTGGCTCTGCAGAGAAGGAAACAACTTTTCTTCTTCCATCTGTTAAAAGTGCATTTTACTGAGCTTTTTTTTCTTTGGTGTACTGTGTAATCCCTCATTGTCTGCTATCCAATTTCTAACGTGGGTTAAATTGGCAAAACATGTTTTCATTTTCTAATGCATCCTGGATTGAAAGTTACTCATGTATGTTTATATACAGTGGGGGTTGTAAACATCTATTTAGCTGTAGAATCTGTTTCTAAAATTGTTACAAAAATGGTTATAAAGTAGCTATTGCTATTCCAGGTTGCAAATTAAAACTCTTCTCTGGTGCTACAAAATCAGCTGGCACTAGGAACTGGAAGATGGCATGGTGAGAGGGAAAAGAACTAGCTCTGAAGTGGGCAGGCAAAGGGGAGGGAGCTAATTAGGAAAAACTGGGGTAAGTCCACTCTAACCACTTCAAAAGCAAACCAGAATATATCTTACACCTTTCAAGCTGGCTATGAAGGCAGCAGCTGTCTTTTACACCCAGGTATATCCTGCATGTATGTATTATTTAACACACGCTGATGACACTGAATTTCCAAGGTCAGCCTCACTGGGGCTGAAGCACCTTTACCATAAACACCCCAGTGATGGGGATTTCTTCTCCTGTTTAACCCAAGATGCTGAATGCATCATCTGAGAACAGCTTAGGCCTGGAGATTTCATGCCAAACCAAGTTTTTTGATCCCTCAGCACAGTTCATTGCTGATGACCCACTGGGAAAGCACTTCAGGTCCATCATTAATAAGCTCTGCCTTAAAGGGTAATGAGAACTGGGTGCTTCAGGAGACAATAGCTCATCCATCATCAATCAAGATCTGAAGTTTTTATACAGATGATTTAAGAAGAGTTGGACTGTGCAAAATTGAAATGTCACATTTGTATTGGGAGATGGGGGTGTTTGGTAATGAAAATGAGAGTTTTAACCTTCTCCATTTCAGCTCAATGACCATACTCAAAAGCTCATGGAACTGGAATCTATATCCCGAGCAGAAGCCCCAGACAACCTTCGATCTCAATTATACAATTTCAAGTACAGTTTATTTGGGTCATTAGCTGGAAGTCAGTTTCAAGGCTTGATGGAAACAGCAAGATATTCTTTATTTCTATCAAAAGCAATCAGTGTTATGTGCAGCCTGTGGGTTTGTACTTCCAACTGCTCAAT